TTCCGGCACCTCCTCAAAGCCAGTCCTCCATCATTTCACCCGGATTCTCCTAGAAGCAATATGAGTATGTTGTCCCTCCCTGAAAGGCCATTTTTCAGACTCCTCAATGTGGCATTCGCGCCTTGCCCACTCGATGTTTGCGTTCTTTGCCAGACACGCAGGCCTGTGCTCCAGTCAACCTGTACCCACTCCCTGCTGGCCTGTGTGCCTCTGCCTGTCTGGATGGAATTGGCCTCTACCTGCAATGCCTAGTTCAAGCATCACCTCTTGGGCCTCCTCTGCTCATCAACCCTGTATTCCCCAGGCCAGGCACTGGCTACTCTGACCTCTTAGCAGGAGTGAGTAGGAGCTGGCCTCCATGGTGAACAGAGCTTCCTAACGTACCCATTTTTATCGAGCACATGCTGTGCTCTTTATCCATTTCATTTGACTGGCTTCAACCCCTTCCACTCACATGATTTTTCCTGTGTTGATGGACGGTAACAGTGATATTTTTCTTTGGTTTAAGCTCTGTCCAGGCCTGCAGCATGCATCTGGCCATCACATGAATATTGATTGGCCACATGCAGCCATGTTATTAGTGCCTTTTGGAAACACTTGGAGAAACTGTATTTTCTGTTAGATAGTTGCATACATGTCTTTTCCCCCACCAGACTGGGAGCTTCCAGAGGGCCAAGAACCAGATTAATCATGTCCAGCTTCGTAATACCTCTCAGAGGCATCTTCCAGAGCTCCCACCATACACACCAGGCTGAAGAAACCTCCAAGGACACAGGCTCCCACAGCCGGGGCTATGGCAGGAGCAGAGCATGCTTCTCAGCTGGAGCATATATAACCCCCAGGTTCTATTTAGAACAATTTTAAATTCTATCTGGACACCTTGCAACCGAGGTCTGAAGAGTGGCTCCTGGCATCAGGCTTCCATTTCTGCCTGCACATGGCGTGCTTGGGGAGTAACCCACCACTGCATGCTTCCAGGCTGCTCCGGTGCTTGTGAGCACTGAGTGTTGGGTTTGCAAGAGTGGCTCCAGGAAGCACCAGCCAGGCTTTTGTTCCCCGTCAACCGTGGCAAACTGTGTACTCTTCCTCAAAGTCCGCCAGTCTGCCACAGCTTGCCCATCTGCAGGGAGTCAGGACAGATTAGATGCTCTGTGGGGTCCTCCCAATACCAACGCGCAGATTAAGTATCGTTGATAACAACTCACCTGTTCAGGTGAAAATCAGCCCTAGCTAAATGAATGCTCAGCTGTTCATTCCTGTCCCTCTGGAGCAGAGTCCTGTATGTTCTCTGGCGCGTGCGCAGGCACACGCACGCACGCGCACACACACACACACACTGCCTGTGCATCTATGGAGCCCTGTAGGAAGCCGCACTAGAACAATTGTGCCAACACTTTAACCAAGTGGTGACAAAGCTGACACCACCCTGTAGCTCGTTGAGAAAATGATGCCTCAGTTTTAGAAACTACCAGTCTGAGCTCTCAGCCGTCCTTTGGACGTTTGCAGCCAGGGGTGCAAATCCGAATTCCATTTACACACCCAGGTTGTGTACCCAAGGGAGGCTGTAACTCAGCGGGACTAGGTGGGGCCTGGGGACTCTGGAGTCTGTGAAGAGGCCCAAACGGTGCCGACGCGCCCCCTAGTGGAAACCAGCATGCGCAATGATGAGTAGAAATAGAACGGCTCTTTGTGGCCAGGCTGGGATTGATGCCTCCCTGCAGGCTCATCACTGTCACCAAAGTGCCACCTGGTGCTGATGGTGATGGCTGCAGCGGGGAGGGATGTGGGTGCGCTCTGCACTTTCCGCGCCATTTTACTGTAAAAGTAAAAGTCTTGGGATTTGTTTCATGCAGAGAGGAGCACCCGGCTCTAGGAGGGCCCATGGAAATCTCCAGGGTCAAGGGTCCTGGTGCTGTGCCTGCCAGCCAGATCACCCTTCCTGATCACTTTTGTTTTCAGGTGATCTCTGCTCCATCTCAGTGGCAGTCCTCTGTTGTCTGAGGGAAAAACTCGACTCCTTAGCCAGGCACTGTTTTTGGCCTCAAACCATCTTTCCAGGTTTAGAATTCGCATCCTGAGCTCACCCTGAAAGCCCATAGGGACCACCAGCACTGGCTGCAAACCCAGGCCTCCAGGGCAGGGGCCTGGTCTCTGTTCACCACTGCAGTCAAGGTCCAAAAATGCAGGCACCTGTGCGCCCCCTGCTGGTCACCTTGGTCCCTCCCCTTTTCTCCTGCACAGCCCTTTTGAGCCCCTGCTTTCCCTGGGGCCTTTGCTCTGTGGCTGTTTCCCTCCAGCTCTCTTCCTGCGAGCCCTCTGTGGCACGGTTGTGTTCCTGCCACACTCAGCTATGTGCCGCATTATTTTGGGTCCCTTGAGGCCAGGTCTGTGCTCTGTGCAGCTCTGTTTCCAGAACCAGCCCTGAGCCCTGGCACTACCGGGCATTGCTCAGTGTCGGAGGGTCTTGCTGGGTCTGCTGTGGGTGTCAGGACCAAGAGTCCTCTGTGGGGCAAATGGAGGGGGACTCAGGAGGAAGCAGGTCCATCCCCTTCCCAGTGGCTCTCTCCTGCTGTGCAAAGAGCATCATGGGGCGTGGAAAAGCCCGGGTGTCTAGATTTGAAGTCCGGCTCCTCTGCCTCTGCGGGTATGACTTTGTACAAGCTGTTAAGCATGCCTTGGTATTTTCACCTGGAAAAGGGGGACATTAACAGTCCCTACTTTGTCTTTATAGGATTGATGCAAGGATTTTAAAAGTTAATAGAAACCAGGTGTGATGGCACAGGCCTATGATCCCAGCACTGGGGAGGCCACGGCTGGGTGTTGAATTCAAGGCCAGACAGTGTGACCCTGTCTCAAAAAAAGTTAATATATGTAAAGAATTTGGACCACAATCCTGAAAAACCCAGTCCTGAATACCATAATCAGAAATACTGAAACCTTGACACATCAAAATCTGTCAAATCTAAACCCTACAAGATCAAAAATCCCAAAAATATAATTCTGCAAAAATAATTCTAAAATTGTTTTAAAAACACTTAAAACATTCTTAAGTGCAGATCTCAGAAGCAAAAACACAACAGAGCACTTCGCAGACTGTGAGGCACAATTAAATAAGCAGTAATAGCTTGCATACTTTTTCAAGTCACATAGGTATAACAGGAGCAGATAAAACATATTCTTAATAAAAGAGATCCAAAAACAAAATGTGGAAACACATACCACCATGGCTGGTCTCCTCACACAGCCAGCTTGGAGCTGTGGTCATCTGAAATTACATGACGGCCGACCTAAATCTTGTGAGAAGGTGAATCAAAAATCCCAATGGTCCTTGCCCCTCTGCAGTCACCTAAGGTATTGAGGTCTTGAGAAATTTCATCTTTCACAAACACATACATACAAAAAGAACAGTTCTTCATTTGGGGGAACTTTGAACGTTTTTAGGTACACGTGTGCACAGTGTTACAAAGTCACTTGATAATGTACCCGCACAGAATCAAATTTGCAAAAAGAAGGCATAAAATTGCCGAGAGTGGTAGCACATGCTTGTGACTTGAGCATTCTTGGAGGCTGAGGCAGAAGCACAAGTTCCAGCCCAGGCTGGGCAATTTACAAGTCAGTGACTTAGCAAGACTTGTCTCAAAAAATAAAAATGAGCTAGGGCTGTAATTTTTGGATCCAACAGGGGCATGAATTGTCTATTTTAAAACCCCCTGGGGACAGTATCACTATACAAAGTGAGGCATTGTCCAGTGTGTCTATGTTAGATCTAGGGGTAGACAAGAGAATCCTGTCTTCTGTGAGCATCAAGTCTGTAACCAAGAACAGCAACATTTCATGTGTTCTGTCCCCAGCTTCCATTATCCTTGGTTCAGCAGGTTGCTGAGCTTGAATTCTCTCCATTCCCTTGAAGAAGGACAATTTTTGAAGACAAGCATCCTGCTCTGCGTGAAGAAACAGGTGGACTCAGATGAGTCGTTTGGAACTATCCTGCAGACATCTAAAAAAAAAAAAAGTGCATTAATCCTGTCCACAAATTTCAGCTTTCTATCCCCCTTACATAGCCTTTTGTTAAAATGGGACTTACCGTTTTCAAGGTTTCAACATTTGGGGTTTTAATCTTTCAGGACTGTGCTTTGGGGGTTTTAGACTGTAAGGATTTAGCTTTTTTAGAATTTCAGCATTCGGGATTGTACCTTTAAATTGGATATGATGCCTCACACTTGTGATCTCTCCACTCTGGGAAGCTGAGGCAGGAGGATTGCAAATTCCAGCTGAGCCCAGATAATTTACTGACTTAAAGAGTTCTTGCCTCAAAACAGAAAGAAAGTAAAAAAGGGAAGAGAGAGAGAAAGAGAAAGACAGAGAGAGAGAAAGAGAGAGAGAAGGAAAGAAGGAAGAAAAGAAAGATAGAAAGAAAGTAAAGAAGGAAGGAAGGGCTGGAGATAAGTTTAGTATAAAGGCTCTGGGTTCAAGTCCCAATATAAAAAAAAAAAGATTGAGTCTTTCAAGATTATGATCAGCACCAGTTTGTGAAATGCTTAGCACCACGTGGCCCAGGTGTTTGCTTCATAAGCATTTTATCCTTTTTTCATGACCCATGGGAAAACTACTCATTTTCCTCCTGTGGATGCCTCATTTTATAATGAGGAGGAGGCTTTGTAGTCATTCAAGCAATTTAAGAAACTAAATTTAGACCAAAAGACTAACAATCGTTCTTAAAATTATTTATTTCATGTTTGAGATCAACATGTTATCTAGTTTTTCCATTTTATAGACAACAATTCTCACAGCAGAAAACTTGAGCGATACAAAAAGGGAGAAAAAGAAGGATAAGGAAAAGCCATCCAATCACCTCAAAGTGCAGAGGCCTGTGCTGGGACCCCCGCGTTTCCTTGGTGGCTTGGTTTCCTGCCCACAAGCACGATAGATGTGTTTCCCTGGTTAGGGGAAAGGTGAGACACATGCATACTTTTTTTAAAATTTTTATTTTTGTAGTGCGGGTGATCGAGCCTAGGACCTCATTCCTTTGCCAACCCTGCTTTTTTCCTCCTAAGTTGGTGAATCCAGTCATGGGCCCTTGCGAACATTATTTTTGATAGCTACGTCGTGCTCCACTAAGTGAGTGGATATTTTGTTTTTAACCCGTTCTGTAGTGGCGGAACACTTTAATGGCTTCTGAGGTGCTGTGAATTATGCTACAGGAAGGGATGGCTCTCTCTGGAGAAAGGACTTCCCACATCACTGACTTTTCATCGCAGGATGCTGGGAATACAGGTAGAATCTCAGGCTGGACAACAGGCTGACAATAGACTCCATACGACACCAGGAAATAGGAGGGCTGTGGAGGAGCAAGAGAGGGTGGTTTATTTTTAAAGATTTTTTTTCATTTTAATTATAAATGTACTGAGTAGTCACTTACAATTTGGAAAATACATGAGCCCAAAATGCATCTCAGCTACTGTTTTATTTTATTTTGTTTTGTTTTGTTTTGTGGGACAGGGTCTTACTATGTGGTTCAGGCTGGCCTGGAACTCACTATGTAGCGGTTCAGGCTGGCCTTGAACTCACTGTGATCCTCCTGCCTCAGCTTTCCCGGTGCTGGGATTACAGGCGTGCACCCCCATGCCTGGCTCAGCTGCAGTTTTAATTAACATGAATATTTAGCTTCTCTTAGTCTTCAACCCCATCTATACAACACAGAAAATCTGGTCTCTTGTGAATTTCTCTTCCATCTCCTTGGCACCTCTGGCATCCCCACGGGTTATTGGGAAGCCCTGCAGATCTTCTTTCTACCCTGCTGCTGATTTCATCATCGCCAACAAGCTTTGCTACCCCGAGGTGTCTCAGCTGGAGGTATATTTTCCTCGGCTAAGCCAAGTTTCCATGGAGGCAGCTGCATCCACCAGGGCCAAAGGAAGGAGCTATTTACTTCCTTCTGTAGCACACCTGGAGTCCCACAGAAGCTCCCTGGAGCCCCCAGCTGTCACAGGGCTGGAGGAGGTCGTTCTTCACATCACACCCCCATCGTGTCTGTCTCACTTGCTGCTGGGCCTCGCTGGGTGCCAGGCACAGAGGTGTGCTCCGTTCACATCTGGGCACTGAATAACCGAATGAGTGAACAAAAGGCCCATCTGGCCGGAAATGCAGAAACTGTGACAGCTGGCAAAGGCGCAAGCCCAGGAGGGCACGTCACAGGTAGCACAGTTAGGAGGGCCGGCTTCCCGCTTGCCTGGATATTCCCTCTCCTCCAGAGCCAGCCGGCCCGGGAGCGAAGAGCGGATCAGTGCATCCACCAGGGGCCCAGGACACCGGCCTAACCTCTGGCTCCTCTGGGACCTGTTTTCTTCTCTGGGCCTAAGCTCTATTGGGACAGAGGCTGTCTTTCCCGTAGTGTCTGCCAACTGCACAACAGAATCACCTGGGAGCTTTCTGTTTGTTTGTGTTTGTTTTTTGAAGCAGTGTCTTGCTATGTAGCCCAGGATGACTTTGAATTCAAGATCTCTTGCCTCAGCCTCCCAACTGCTGGGTCTACAGGCATGGAGAGCTTTACAAAGTACAAAACCCAGGTCATTCGCAAAGCAATGACCCCCGCAGGCCCCAGGGGCATGCCTACCACTCTCGAGAATTTCTAGAAGCTTCTCAGACCATCCCAACACGCAGACAAGTGTGCAGCCTCTTCCCGGCCACTCAGCCCCTGGTGGGGCCTCAGTTAGAATCTGTTGAATAAACAGGGGAGGCGGTCAGTACACGAGCCTTCACACCCTCCACCAAGGCTCACAGGACCCTTCTCCAGGTCTCAGGCTGTGCCCTTGCTACCTGGTCACAGCCTCTTCTCTCTGTACAGTTAAGGAAGACTTAATAAGGAAATCTACCTCATTTTTGATAGTGGTCTCTTATCTCAGCTTTGGGTCTAGATATTAAATTTCTGTAGATAGAAGAGTCTAGAAATATAAGCAATTTTTAAAATAAAACTCCCCTCCCAACCCACAGGAAGCGTCACCTTTGTCATGTCATGACGCATTTGCATTGTCCAACACATACCACAGCACACTTGGCCTAGTGCACACCCTGCCACAGGGGTGGACAAGGGGCCCATGCCTGCCCAGCCAGAGCAGGGCATCCCCAGAAGCAGAGTGAGCACCGCATACCCATGAGTAGGTGATTCTAAAACCTTATGGTCAGTGCTTTGATAGTGAAGAACAGGATCCTGAGAAAAGCGGCAGGGACCCAGCTGCAGTCAGGGGTTCGGGACAAGTCCTTGCCCTGAGAAAGGATGGTTGCAGTGATTGATGATCTCTCCCCACCTCCACCATGGTGAGCTTTATGGAGACCAAGACCACGCATCTACATATCTGCGCCCATTCCGGCTCTTGGCAGAGCCACCCAGGACCCCTGAGATGGGGCTGGGGATTTAGCTCAGCGGCAAAGCGCCTGCCTGGCAAGCGCAAGGTCGTGAGTTCGGTTCCTGGTACCGGAGAAAAACCAAAAAAAAAAAAAAAAGAAAAGAAAAAAGGACCCCTGAGATGAAGGGTCGGTGCGCCTGTGGCTGCAGGCACGGGAGGACCCCAGTTCTTAGCACTGTTCTCATTCCCTGGCTGGCTGTCCTCACCCCTCCTCCGGGGCGATTTCGGCAGGAAGCTATGACTGTCCTGCACAAGTGGGAAGCCACCCGGTAGCACCAACACCCTGGCCAGGGCTGTGCCCTTGCAGGCACTCTGCACCTTACAGTCTTCCCAAAAGGGATCTGCTGGGGTCACAAACTTCTTGACCACAAGCCATCAACACAGAGATGCTGCAGATAACTCTCACGCACTCGTCCACATGCCGTGGGGCAGCCTTGGCTTCAGGCCTCAGCACCCCTTCTCCTGAAGTCCCGGGCGCTGGTGTGGTCCTCACTGGCTACAGTCTGCTGGCTTTCACTCTTACTGCCAAATTGCCTCTATTTCCTAAGACACTTGTCCCCACGCTGGTGATGGCAGCTGCTGCCCCCAACCCCGGCCCCGCTACCGAGAGCATGAGGCTCCCTCGTGCTGTCTCAGGAGCTAGGGCCACAGCCACGAGGATGCCCGTAATCCTGCGTGCCCTGAGCAGCGCTCCTCCAGGCCGGGCTTGCAGGGGGCAACTTGGTCTGCATTGCGGTGAACTCTTTGATGTTCTTTTCCAGATCAAACTTCTTCAAAGGAAAACATAAGGTCACGTTTTTCCTCCTGCAGACTTCCAGCCGGGGTGAATGCTCTCACATAGCACCGTCCTCAAACAGGCTTGTTGCTGAGGACAGTTCCTCACATTAGATTTCCAGCTCTGGGACAGGGTCACAGGGTGGCCAAACCGGCAGGGGGCTCTCAAATACCCTTTGGGGGAAGGGCGCTGGGCATCATGGTACAATATGGGCAGCCGTCACAGACAAGCGAAGGGCCCACCATGGCCAGGAGCCCTGGGAAGCTGAATGATTCCTGCAGCACACACCAGCCAAGGCCTGTGAGTGCCCAGATGGGCCCACTACCTCATTCATCCAGGACAGCTCTCTCCTAAATGTCTGTGGCTGCTGATGTGAGTGAAACATATATGGTGTGATTGAAAAGTACAATGAATGTAGAAATCTTTTAAAAATGTATTGCAATAAAAGACACATCACCCCTCACAAACTCTTCCTTGCTCCACACACGCTTATCCCATTGTCCGTGCCACTTTCTGAAGCAGCTCTGGAAGTTGTCTTTTGTGAGGGTCTGTAGTTGTGCTGTCATGGCCGCCTTGATGCTCTGAGGTGACTCAAAACATTTACCTTTGATGGTTGTTCTGACTTCGGAAAAGAGCCCGAAGGTACTTGGTGCCTGGTCCAATAAGGCGGAGGAGGACGCGCGGTGATGTTTTTAACCAGCCTGTCTCTCTTTTGGGCGGCACTCAGCAGCACCATTCACAATGTATAGTTTTTATCACACCTCCTACAGACACTCATGAAAGAGGACTTTCAGAGCTGCTTCAGAAAGTGGCAAGAACAGTGGGATAAGTATGTTTGAAGCAAGGGAGACTATTTGGGGAATAATGGCAATGTATCTTACTGTGGTAATTTTTTTATTTAAACATACACACTGTGTTTTGACCACCCCTTGTAATTTAAAAACACTACTGGCTTTTGTCATCAAAAGCCATATGTATTCATTCACATATATGTATTCATTGATAGCACACTTGTGTGAAGCATTGTGGGAAATTCTATTGAGGAAATAAGAGTGCTAAGAGTGCATGGGAGATGTCTTCATTTTCTTTTTTGCACTAAAGAGGGCTCTATCTGGGAGCCATAGTTACTGCTGGGGAGGGGACTTACGTCGAGGAACAGGGTCAGGGAGACTTACTGTTTACTGTTTGCCCTTTTCTTCCCTTAGGTTATGTTTCATATGCTTGTATTACAATTATTCCCCCCAAATTAGTAAAATAGCCTCCATCTCCAAAGCAAAAGGTGAGGGGGCCTCCGACCACAAGATACCTCCCCTCCTGTAGGAGAAAGTCCCTGATTGTGATTCAGGTTGTCAGTGTTATGTGCTTTGAAACCTGAAATAGATTCTTTTTTTTTTTTTTTTTGGTTTTTCTCCGGTACCGGGAACTGAACTCACGACCTTGCGCTTGCCAGGCAGGCACTTTTGCCACTGAGCTAAATCCCTAGCCCCTTGAAATAGATTCTTAACAAAGGCTGTTGTGCTTAGACACTGCGGGGCCAGCTCAAGCAGGAAAAGAAAGCGAGGAAAAGAAAAAATATATAACAGAAAATTCTCTCCGTTGACACGAATTTTCCCTATCATTTGAAATACGAGATCTCTGTTTTTCAGTTTTCCTGTTGAATCGATCTGGTTCAGCTATTGGGCCATCAGCTTCTTCAGGGCCTTTGTTTGAGAATCATTATTCTAGGTAAAGGGTCTTGTAGGTTTTGGGGTTCCCAGGGTGGATCCTGCTGGCCTGCGTGAGATCCCCGACACTTCCCATAGCACACAACAGAGCCAGACTTGTGCGGCCCTCGGCTGTGTTTCTGTCTTTCTCCTAACTGACCATCCACAGGGACTGGACTCGGGCTTGAGCGAGATGGACAGAGGTCTGCAGGGAAGAAGATAGGGTTGTGGAGAACCGGACTTGGTTGAAGCAACCCCGGCCTCAAAGGGACTGTTGACAATGGCCTTGGAGTCCTCTGCTCCGGGGCAAGGTCATTAGCAACCTCAGGTGGAGTGGCCAGCTGAGCCCTCTCCAGGGAGACAACCTTCCTCGTCAAGTCACTTTGCAGAAATTGCTCCGTGGGGGTTTTCTTTGGCAGCCTCTCTGACCTTTACTTAGAGCCGAGATGACCTCTGC